CCTGTAAAAAAAAAAAAAATCAGGCAGTGGAACTAGTTTTACTTTAAATTTCATGATCACAGATAATCAAATGAACACAACAAAGCATAGACGCCTATGTTATTTTCTTAACTGTTTTTACCCCATGAGCTTACCTTCATTTATACCTACGTCTATACTTGTATCATTTATCTTCACAACTTAGTAAGTGGTCCAAAACCTATAAATCATCCTATAGTCCTTCCTTTTTTATAATATTGTCATAAGACCTAAATCTCCAAAATAAAGCTTTTTTCCTTCTTTACTGCCACTACTTTATACCATGCCATCATTAGCTCTTGCTTATATTTCTAGAGTAGTCTGACTGGTAACCCTGATTTCACTCTTGCCCCTCTACAGTCTGTTCTTATTCTTCACTCTAAAACCAAAATGATTTTTAAAAATGAAAATTTGATTATGTCATTCTTCTCAAAAGTTTTTCATGGTTTCCTATTGAGAATCAAATTCATAGCTCTTACTGTGAGCCACCAGGTACTGTGCTCCTTGCCCTGCTCACCTGTAACGCTAGTGCCTTATTCATCCTGCTTGTGTGCTTCTAGGATTTTCTTTATTCACTGTAGGGTTATTAGATGGGAACCTACCCGTTTGTCTGCATATATTTCATTTCATTTGGGACCAATTTCCCCATAAAGGAATCCTCTGTTTCCTTCCTGATACAGGTATTTGGCTATCAGCATTTTGGAATTAAATGATATTAAATATAGGCATGAATCTATATTTAATCTCTGCTCCTTCTGGTGCTCCCTTGTTCAGAACCTCTCTGGCTCTACTTTGAACTTCAGAGAATTTTTCTTTTGGGAGCTGGTGAAGGAATCAAAGTATTCAATTTCTTTTCTCAGTGTTCATACCATATACCAGATTGGGACTAAATTTGTAAATCAAGATCATTATAATTTAGTTTATAGGAGGTAAAAATAGAAACTGAAAGTGAAATTGACATAATAGCTCTGCCCTTAGCAATGAGTTTCTGGTGCTGATGAGCTAATTTGTATCAAATATTTTATTTGGACATACAAATGTAAATGCAGTTCTAATCCTTTTGTCTCTATTCAGATTTTAGGACAGCAAATTAATGACTTTACCCTTCCTGATGTGAACCTCATTGGGGAACATTCTGATGCTGCAGAGCTCGGAAGGATGCTTCAGCTCATCTTAGGCTGTGCTGTGAACTGCGAACAGAAGCAAGGTAATTTATTTGATGTTAGGGTATGCATTTAAAATAATTAAGCAAAGGAATATATATTGTATAGATTATATATAAATCGCTAGTACAAACAATAGCATCTTCGCAAGGCCACCCTCAAACAATGTCATTTTCTATGATTTTGCTAGTACTTTGTTTGCAAGCTTAAAAGAGTTTTGCAGCTTAGAATAAATTTGATTATGAGGATTCTCTCCCTATCTGCAGGACTATATAATTCTTTGAATAGATTAGTTTTAGTGAAAGTGATGAAATTTACTGTTAATTGGAAAATGTCCAGCTAAATTAATCTCAGTAATAATGGTAATGTTATACTGGATCAATTTAGCTCTGGGAACTTAAAATTGGATACTTTAGATTGCAAGTATGAAGGGTTTATTTCACAAATATTTACCAAACTCTTGCATTATGCTGGGGCTAGGAGCACATTGCCAGACAGAGCAGACACGGTACCTTCCCTTGTGGAACAGGTTGGTGAGTGGAGGGAGGGCAGGAAGCAATGTCACACATAATAGCTGTGTGGTCTGAATGGGAATGAGTGCTGTGAAGGTAAAGTGTAATGGGCCAGGGAAGTTATTTAAGCAAAGATGTGGAGATGGATGAAGAGTAATCTGAGTAGTAGAAACTGAATGTCATAATGACTTAGGTTATCTTTGAGAGACTGAAAAAACCCACCACTATAATTAGAGAGTAGTAAGGAAGGGATGAGGGGTGATGAAATAGAAGAAAGGTACATAGGGACTACTCCAAACAATGAGGGCACAGCGTTTTACTGTTACTGTATGAACTTCGTAGAAGACGGAGGTTTTTATCTTTTTAAACCCAAAGATTTTTTTTCTTATTCCTTCTTCCTCACTCCTGGTAATGCAAAACAGATTTTTATTTAAATTGTCTATACCTTTTCGGTGTTCTAATGTGATAAGTTTAATAGCTGTCAATATTGTTTTCTTGAAACTGTGACTAGTTTTATTGGTGTGTGATCCAGGAATTTTTTTCTAACAATATATTTATTTCTCTTTGTCCTCATTCCTGTTAGATTTTAGTATGCATGCTCTTACAGTAAGTTTTAGTTTTCTTTATTCAGTTTAACAATTAAAATGGAGAACTTTCTACATTTGTGATTTTTATATATTACTAAGATGTCTAAAAGTTTTTTGCCAAAAGTTAGAAGATTGCTATAAATAAGATTCCAGACACATTAAATTTCTAAGTAGATGCTTTGATTTTAAAAGGTGTGTGAAAATTATTTAATGTAGTTGACTGAATTCAGATAATGACCTCGTATGTGCTTATTCTGTTAGGAGATTCACCTACTCTTGGAAGCAGCATACCTGTTAAGAGTTGACCAATTATATTTATCACAGGAAAAGACAAGAATGTTACCTATATCCATAGTCCTATGGAAAGCAATCATAATATTTATCCAGATTCTCACACAGACCAAGAGTCCTGTGTAACACCTAGATTCATTTTTTCCCTTGAAATTGTGTATAAATGATGAAACCTTTGAACAGGATTTTAACATCTTATTTATCCAGAGGGCATTCCCTGTTTTCAGAAACATAGTTGAGAACCAAGAATCAAAGTAAATGAATTCCTGAGTTCAGATTTTCAGTGTAATGTGAGGCTTACTAAAGCAGCGCTGCCATTTACTACCTGACTGACTTTGGACTAGGTACTCAGCCCATTTCCACATCTGCAGAATGAGGATACAAAACCTGATAGTCGTGAGGAGTAAATGAAATTGTATATGTGTATTTGCTTTGTAATCCATAAAGTGCTATACGGATAAAAAAGCTTTTATGTTTAGATGAGTTTTTCAGTTACTAAAAGTAAGGAGCAATTGCTCAGAACATTGACTTAACATACATTTATGTTGGCCATCTGTCTTCCTAAACAGGGCAAATAAATGGTGGTAAAATTGAAAAGACAAATATTAGTAATATAAAACATACTACTAATCATTTCTAAGTGTCTGTCTTCTGCTTGGTACTTTATTAAGTACTCATAGAACAAAAAAAAATACTTTATACACATGAGGAAAACTAAGTATTAACGTGATTTGCCCAAGGTTTCTGGTTTGTGAAAGGCTAGACAAGGACAATAACCCATGTTTCTCCATGTTTAAATCATGCTCCTCATACTCACCTGCTATAAATTTTGGCCTTAAAAAAGCTGTTTTCAGGATGAACTCTGACATAGCACACCTCATTCATTGCCTCATAGATCTGCACCAAATAGTCATATATATTTATATTTTGGACACAAGATTTGTAAATTTTTTTTCTTTTCAAAAATTGTACATTAACGTAGTTGTCATCATCATTTTATCATGTAGCATTTTACGGTGTTCGCGGGGAAGGGCCTTGACGTGGCAACACCGCTTCTTAACTAACGCTTCCCCTCTCACACCTTACTAACTTCCTTACCTCCCTGTTCCCACTGTTAGTTTCTTCACTTCCAATAGGCTGTCATTAAGTTTCCTTCCCCATTATCAGTGCCACTGCTTTTTCTTTTCCATGTTCACAGTCTTTTATTTTAAGGGCTGTTAGTCATCCTAGCTATGCCATTTTCTCCATAGCCCTGGGATTCTGTGTGTAGTAGCTTGGAACAGAACATCTACAAGCACTCCCTTGCATTCCAACACTTAGAGGATGCTCCTCATTAACAAAACAGAACAGGAAACGGAGCTCAGACTAAAGAATTTTTTTTTCCCCAAATAGTGGTTCTGATACATTCCTACTATTGTCCTAAGAAAATACCTGTGATTAAAGTGTGTTGTGTATGTCTGTGTCACCACACATTTGATTGGGTACAAGTATCCTAAGAACAACACTTGCTTAAAAACATGTTTTTTAAAATCTTTGGCATCAATAACCAGGATGTCAGAATGTCACAATTTAGTAGTGTTGTCAAAATACTTTGGTTTTGTTTGTTTGTTTGTTTTTAATAAGTTGGCTGTCACACACAGCTTTATACACCTTGGCATTCCAAATACATGAGTCTTGTAAGTTCACTTTAACAATTTCACAGTAAGACTCCCATCATGTAATACTTGAAGTGCAGAGACAAGTTTTTGGTGTACATGTGGAGAGGATTTTTTGGATGTATGTGGAGAGGCAGGTTGAGACTAAAATTTCCTAATTATTCTTTTAAATGTTTCTTATTAAAAATGTATTTACCATGTTTGTTAGAACCCACCTGGCCTGTTGATTTTATTTTATGCTTAATGCCACTTTTTCCATTCATTGTTGGATTTGCAAATAAGGAAAAGTACTTCTAGGGCTTTGTTTTTAGGAGACAAGAAATAATTTTTTTCAGCTTTTTCATTACTGACAGCTGAGAGATCCCTCTCTTTTTTTGGCAGTGGCGAGGGTAAGATTGATGAAGTTGGTACTTCAGCTTATTAGAGATGTGTGTATTTTAAAGTCCAGGGTTATGCAATATTTATTTTTTTATGGTATCAGTTTCTATCTTAATTTCATCTTAATTCATTGTCCCAAGCAACTCTCAGGTTTATTAAGATTTTTCTATTCTATAGCAGAAAATATTAAGGTAGAAATTGTACACAGTGCAGTGCTTTGTCACACAAGCATAAGGCACAGACTTCAGAGTTATTTTTTTTAACTTGTAACAAAGTATAATGTGAAAGACAGATTTCTAAATTTTAGGAATAGCAATAAGGAGTTCTTTCCATCCTGGCTTTAGGCTTTACCAATTCATTGTCTTGCATTCCTGAGATACTGTATTCCTGTGACCTTTAGCTTGTAGCCTCAAACTTTGTAAATTAATGGGGTGGTGGGTGTGGTTTCTTAAAGAAAGAACTACTGTAACTTTCAGCCTGTACTTTACCTGTGGTGCAGATATTTAACCACTTATGAAGAATTCCTGGGAAGAGTCAAAACATGGGAGACTACTTATAAGAATTCATGAAGTGTAAGCCTTTTACTCCCTTGAGTATCTTTAACTTGAACAGTGACATTCCAGATTATTCTTGTTTTCAGAGTACATCCAAGCCATTATGATGATGGAGGAATCTGTTCAACATGTTGTCATGACAGCCATTCAAGAGGTACGTTGGAACTTTAAGTATGTGTGAGAAATTAAAGGAGCAAATAGGAATATGAATAGCAGAAGTAAAGATTTTTAAAAAAGATTCTCCTCATTTTTTTTTGAGAATTTTTTTCTTACACTTACAATATAGCTTGCCTCATTTTTATTTTAAAAAATCATACATTTTTCTCATTTTTATTTAAAACTTAAACATTTGTCTTTAGGTATATTCAGTAACTATTCCTAATTTTTAAAATTGCTCTACTGAACTAGGAATAGTAGACTAATTCCTAAAGCCATTATAAACACATATCTTAGGGGCGCCTGGGTGGCGCAGTCGGTTAAGCGTCCGACTTCAGCCAGGTCACGATCTCGCAGTCCATGAGTTCGAGCCCCGCGTCGGGCTCTGGGCTGATGGCTCAGAGCCTGGAGCCTGTTTCCGATTCTGTGTCTCCCTCTCTCTCTGCCCCTCCCCCGTTCATGCTCTGTCTCTCTCTGTCCCAAAAATAAATAAACGTTGAAAAAAAAATTTAAAAAAATAAATAAATAAATAAACACATATCTTAAACCAGCAGTGTACCTCACACTTAATTGTTAGTTTCTTGTTTGGCAGAAAATAACGCCTTCAACTCCAACCATACCCAGAGCAGTTTCTAGATGAATATTTATACTGAAACTGTGAGGAAGGAAAAATATCTTTTTCCTCTACCCATCCAAATTCGCAGCTGGGACCTCTATTAACAAAAGACAGATTAACAAGAAAAAGGGTACAAATGCATTTAAAGGATGTTTTACATTACACCAGAACCTTCTTAAGGAAATGAAGATTAAAGGCGTGTTTAAACCTGAGTGTTTTGATGCTAGGTTTGATGAAGAGTGGAGAATCATGGAAAAATGTGATAGGGCAAAAAAGGTTTGAGCTAAGGATAGTAACCTGGGGAAAACAGCATATCCTATTCATTCAGAATCCTTTCAAAATCTATCTTTGGAGATAAGGATGCTTCTTTCATCTGAGGATAGGGAGAGCACCTCTCACATGAGGGTCTTATGACCTGCTTCAGGAGAAGGTAGAAAATCTTTCCTGTACCTACTCAGATTCCTTCAGCTTGAAATATTCAGTATGCCAGGATGCCACATTTTGGGATAGCATGTCCTCAACTCCATCAAATGTGAAACATAAAACTATAAAAGTTAAAATGTAGATTAATATAACCAGTTTATCTCAGGATGTGAGAATGTTTTTGATCATAAAAGGGGAACAGATTGTTAGGGGCACTAGAAAACAATATAGGATATGAATGTGCAACTGACAGAGAAAAAATATAACAAACATGAAAAATGCTAAATGCAAATTAAGTAAAGTTGTGGTTTTTTAAAAATCTGACCAAATGACTATAAATCTGGAGGTTCCCATTACCCCCTCAGGGTGCTGATTCACAGAACTCAGGAATGATGACAGTATTATAGCAGAAGAATACAAACCAGAACCAACTCCCCCCACCCCCAAAATGCATAGAGTGAGGTCTAGGAGAGTCCCATATGCAAAGTTTCTGTTGTTACCTGTCCATAGTATCAAGGCATACCACCACTCCCCCAGCATATTAACATGTACTGCCAATCAGGGAAGCTCACCTGAGTTTTCATGTCCAGAGTTTTCATTGGGGTTTCATTATGAAGGAATGATTGTTTGGATCTGTGACCATGGGGTTGAACACAGTTTCTAGCTCTCCTCCCCATCAGAAGTCAGGCTCATTATCAAGTGATAATCTGATACATCTGGTCTTCCTGGCATGACCAGCCCCCAACTGGAGTCATTCATCTTTTTAGCTTAAGCTACCTAGAGACCCACAGATCATAGATACTCTTTATCAGTTAGGAAATCCCAGAGATTGAGAGGCTATTTGCCAGTAACGGGACAAAGGCCAGCCAAATTCATTACTACACAGGACGTTTCAAAAAAACAAAGCTTTGAAAAGATCACTTTAGCAGTCAGCTCTGATGGTAGGAAGATAAACTGATACATCTTAAAATCATGTCATATTCTTTTATATCATGTAAGATATTAAGTCATGAGTATTAAAGTATCAAAACAATGATCTCTTTTAAAAAAAGTTTTTTATGTTTTTCTTTTACTTTTGAGAGAGACAGAGTGTGAGTTGGGGAGGGGCAGAGAGAGAGGGAGACAGAGAATCCAAAGCAGGCTCCAGGCTCTGAGCCCTCAGCCCACAGCCTAACGTGGGGCTCAAACCCACAAACCGTGAGGTCGTGACCCAAACCAAAGTCAGACACTTAACTGACTGAGCCACCCAGGCATCCCTCAAAATGAGTACCTCTTAAGCAAGATAGAAGATTTTGCTCTTAAGTGGTCCTGGACTTTGCTCTATCGTCATGAGGGATCCAGCTTTCTTGTTTCTTACTGTCTGCCATCCTTAATATATGATTCCCAGGTAGTGGGAGCATCTGTGGGAGTGGGAGTCATCTGTGGCTTCTCAAGTTCCATCTATCACATTCACATTTCCAGCCATCAGGAAGGATTGAGGGGATAGTTATTCACTTCCTCTAAGTAAACTTTCAACAATTCTCACTCCTATTAGCCAGATATTACTCACACAGCTACACAGGGAAACTGGGAAATATGGTCTTTTTTTAATTTTGAGATAGAGAACAGGAGAGGGACAAAGAGAGGGAGAGAATCCCAAGCAGGCTCCACGCTGTCAGCACGAAGTCCAGCGTGGGATTCAGTCTCTCAAACCATGAGATCATGACCTGAGCTGAAATCAAGAGTCAGTTGCTCAACTGACTGAGCCACCCAGGCACCCCTGAAATGTGGTCTTTATTCCAGGTGGTCATAGCCCAACCACAATTTGAGGAGTCTGTTATTAAGCAAAAATAGGAAAAAGAATAAGGAGCCACTAACAGCCACTAACTTACAATAATTGATCCTACAATTCTATTTTTAGGAATTTATCCGAAGGAGATCTGAAATACAGAGGTACATAATAGTAATAGCAAACATTCATCTAGCACCTACTATGTGCAAGATAGTGCTGGTACTTACTAAATACATCTATTAACTCTTTTAAAATTATAACTAATACTACTGAAATGTACACTTAAAATTTTAAATGGCAAATTTTATGTTCTACATATGTTCTACATATATGTTCATACATATAGTATGTTCTACATACTACTACACGTAATACTTCTACAACTACATGTGGTTCTACATACCACAATAAAAAAATGAAAAATTAATTGTAATGTTTTGAGGTATATACTGTTATTATCCCCATTTTATAAAAGGGAAAGTGAAGCATAGAACTCAGCAGTAGGGAGACAGATAAGTAAATTATGGTAGAATAATACTTTGGCATAATATGTAGCATTGAAAACATATAACAACATGAGTCAGACTTGTCTAGGGAAACAGAGCACATGAGCAATAGAATCCCATTTCTGTTAGAGATTAAGATGAGTGAAAACAAACTTGCAAAATGTTAATTATCTCCAAGTGGTTGGATGTTCTATATTCTTTTCTATATTTGCCAGTTTCTCTATAATAACAGGTTTGCATCTATAATCAGAAATATTTTTAAAATTAAAGTCTATGACCAAGCGATTTTTAATTCTACATATCCAGCCCAAGGAATTATTTAGAAATTCAGACCAAGATTGGGTACAACAGTGTTTTTCCAACTATTTTATTTATTTTATTTTTTTAAGGTTTATTTATTTAATATCTACACCCAGCATGGGGATTGAACTCCCAACCCCAAGATCAAGAATCAGTGCTCTTCTGACTGAGCCAGCTAGGCACCCCCAAGCTATTTTATATTAATAGAAATATGAAAATAATGTGCATCCATTAGTAAGCAAGTGTTTAACGTAGGGTACCTCCATCTCATGGAATATTATATAGCTGATAAAATTTTTAAAAAGTATATTATGACAAAGGGAAAACATTTAAAATGTCACGTGAACAAAGTATATAAAATTATACATACAACTAGATTTTAAAAATAGATTATATGTCTTTATGTGCATATTCCTTTTATGCATTTAACACATACTGTCAAGCCCTTAATATGCACCAGAAGCTATAGATACACCAGAACATTCAGGATACAATTGTGAAAAAGACAGACATGGTCTCTTGCCCCAGAAAGTCTAAGTCTCATGGGAGAAATGGCTAACCAAGCAATTCACATACATTTAAAGCATTCAAAATGAAAAGTACCATGTTGGGGAAAATATTAAGAGGACCTCCAAGAAGTAGCTAACTCAGCTTGGGGACTTAAGGGAAGGCTTCTCAGGGAAGGTGGCATCTCATCTGAGCACAGAAGGATGAGATGACGTGAGGAAGGGGTAAAAATTGTTCTAAAGTCCAGGTGGCAAGAGAAGCAAGACCTGCATGGAATGTTGGAGGTATTGAAAGAAGGTGCCTGTAGCAAACATGGTGAGGTAGGAAGTGCTTAGAAATGAAACCAGAGACCTAAGATCATTAGAATATTGAGCAGTTTCATTAGAGATTTGGGACTTTGGAAACCAATGAATAGATTTTAAGGAGAAAATACACTGAAGTCTGTATTTAAGAAAATCCATATGATGAGAAGAATGGTTTGGAGGAAAACCAGGTTAGAAAATGGGAGAGCAGTTCAGAAACCTTGATAATTATCCAGCAAAGAATGATGGAAGCCTGAACTAGGTTATGGCAGGGTGGAGACAGGTGGACAGATTTGAAAATTGTTAGAGCTTGAATCAATAGGCTTGGTGATTGATTGGACCTAGGGGGGAGAAGGTGTAGCTGGATAGAATAATACAGGTAAGAAGGGCTTTTTTTTTTTTTTTTTTTTTTTTTTTTTTTTTTTTTTTTTTTTTTTTTTTTTTTTGGCACATTGTATGTGTATTTCTTTATTCAAGTACTAATGACTTAGACTTTTTTTTTTTTTTTACCATGGTAAAATACATATAACAGAAATTTGCCGTTAGTAACATTTAGTGTGCTCATAATGTTGTGCAAGCATTGTCACTGTTTAGTTCCAGAACTTTTTCCATCAGCACAAAAGGAAACCTTGTACACCCATTACACAGGCAATTCTCATTTCCTCCTTGCTCCAGCCCCCATCAACCAGTAATTTGCTTTCTGTCTCTATAAATTTCCCTATTCTGGATATTTCATATAAATGGAAACATAGGATATGTGACCTTTTGTGTCTAGCATTGTTCATTTAGCATAATATTTTCAAGGTTATTTTGTAGCATGTATCAATACATTTTCCTTTTTATGCTGAATAATGCATTGTATGGATGTGTAGCATTTTGTTTATCCATTCATCAGTTGATAGACATTTGGGTTGTTCCTACCTTCTGGCTATTGTGAATAATGTTTCTGTGAATGTTAGTATATGGGTTGTTGTTTTTGAGAAGGAAAGAGAGACAGCTGGGGAGAGGCAAAAGGAGAGGGAGAGAGAGAGTCTTAAGTGGGCTCTGTGCTGGGCATGGACGTGGATTCAATCTCACAACCATGAGATCATGACCTGAACTGAACTCAAGAGTTGGATGCTTTAGGAACTGAGCCACCCAGGCTCCCCAGGTTTTTGGTTTTTTGTTGTTGTTTTTTTTATAAAACACCTATTCTGCCTATGTTGAAATTGAATTGCTTGGTCATATGGTAATTCTCTGTTTAACTTTTTGAGGATGCACCAACTTCTTTTGCATGGGTGCTGTAGCATTTTACATTCCCGCCACCAGCACTAGGATTCCCGTTTTTTCCCCTGTCAACCCTTGTTGATGTCCATCTTTTTTACACTAGGCATCCTAGTGGGTGTGAAGTGGTATCTCCTTGTGGCTTATTTGCATTTCCCTAAAGGCAAATGATGTTGAGAATCTTTTCATGGGATCATTCTTTGGAGAAATGTAAATGGTGGTCAAGTAAATGATAAGTCTTTTAATTCTTTGAATGCTAATTGGAAGAAGCCACAAGTAAGAGAAGGACAGATGTTGATTTATAAGAGAGGATGATAAATGGTACAGGGTCTGTGAGAAGCTGGGAAGGGACTGGGTCAGGGAGCACAAGTGAAAGGATTAGCCTACTATGGGAAGAACAATACTTGTATTACAAGGTTGGAGAAGGAAAGGATGGGCATGAATGTTGCCAATTTTGTGGATTAAGACATGGGAAATTCTTATTTGAAGACAAAGATTTTTTTTTTAACTTGTTTTATTTTTTATTTTACATCCAAATTAGTTAGTATATAGTGCAACAATGATTTCAGGAGTAGATTCCTTAGTGCCCTTTACCCATTTAACGCATCCCCCCCCCCCCACAGCCCCTCCCATAACCCTCAGTTTGTTCTCCATATTTATGAGTCTCTTCTGTTTTGTCCCCCTCCCTGTTTTTATATTGTTTTTGTTTCCCTCCCCTTATGCTCATCTTGGAGACAAAGTTTCCTGGTGAAGAGTATGGGGGTGTTGGTGAGGTTTGAGAAGTAGGAAAGGTTTAGAATAATCTCTGAAGGGAATAAAGAGACTGCTGACTGGGGAAGCATAACTATACTTTGGGGACAACTTTGAAGTCCCAGTTGAAATTGGAAACTATGTATTAATAGTGTTTTAGGATTAAAATATTTTTTGTTTACTCTCTCAGTACTTAGCAGTCAAGATTTATGGTCAGAACAGACAGGTTATTTGGATTGATTCTAGATTGAGATTTTGCCAGGAAGAAGGAGGAATCGACGTAAGAGAAGTGATGATATTGGCAAAAGTTATCAACATAATAGACCGTGAAAAATCTAGGCTAGAAAGAGAAGGTAGTTGGTTAAACAAATGATGAACCATGGAAGCTAAATCAGTGGAGGAAGATTGCAGAAAATAAGATGATGTTAGCAAAATAAAGAAGAGTAAATGTGAGCAGACAAAAACAAGAATGTTTACTATAAAGTCTAAGCAGAATAAGAAAGAAAGTGATGGGTTCCGACTGGAAACCTGGGAGAAAGGAGGGAGGTAGAGGGCCTGGAAACCTCAAGCGGAGAAGCACGTAAACTAAACATAATTGAATGAGAGAGCAGGGATGACAAAAGGTTGTGTTCAGAGTGTAGGACACCTAGGTTTTTATTCAGAAGTGTTGCTGTGTTATGAGGAGGACTTAACTGCAATAATGGGAAAAGGAAAAAGATGGGGAGGAGATCACTCCTAGTATTTCTGCCACCTGCCTCCAAGTCAGATACCACCTCTGATAATCTGTCACAGCCCTTATCACACTGTGATGGTTTTTTTCACTTGACCTGTGCTACACCCATGGTTGGTAGCTTCTTAAATATTTCAGAATTATAAAAGGTGATTATTGTAGATGGTAAAATAATGATTTTTCCTTTTTATATTTTTAATGAGTTATATCTTCTCTACCATGGGATTATTTTTTCAGTTGGAAGAAGTCTTAAAAATCTTTTGATTAATATTGTCACAATAAAAGCATAAACATTGAAGCCAGTATTTTTTGCTCTTCCTAAGATTTTTTTTCCCCCTAATTATGCTAAGGGACTTTGAACTCTTCTCATCCCATTAATATAGAGCAGTGATTCTTAAACTTCAGTATGCATCAGAATCAGCTGGAGGACTTTATTAAACATGTTGTTGAACCCTAACCCCAGAGTTTCTGAGTCAGTACATCTGGGCTGGGACCTGGTAATTTGCATTTCTGATGAGTTTCCAGACAATGGTGATGCTGTTGTTTTGAGAACTTCACTTTGGGAACCACTGATAAGAACAAGGTACAGCTGAACATAACATTTCAGGTCACTCCAGATTGGGATTAAAGGCTGAAATTATAAAATCTCTCAACAGAACATCCCCACATTTCTAATTGTCCCCCTTTCTTTTGTCCTTCAGACAGAACATAAGAAGGAAGCAACAGAAAATTGAGACCATTTGGGTCTGCCCCTGACTTTTGTCACAATCAGATTTTATCTTTTTCTCCCCTAGCCCCTCACACTTTATGGATCCTTTCTCTTTGCAACACAAGGGTGAGAGAGGCTAAGACATAGATTTGTGTGTGCATGTGTTATAAACATCAGCCAATTCATTTTGGCTTATATTGATTTATATTGATGTTGACCATATTTATTCTTTAGAAATAGTTACTTGTGTTGCTGTTTTTTTTTTGTTTTTTTTTGTTTTTTTTGTTTTAACTGAAAAGTCAGTTTTAAAATATTTAGCCACTTCTTAAACTAAAAGACTTGTCTTTTTAGTGATAAGAATACTTGATTCTTATGACTGGGCCTACAGTGAAAATGAGCACAAGAATTTAGACCTATAATTTTATTTATTTTTAATGTTAATTTATTTATTTTGAGAGAGTGTGAGCGTGCACACGAGCGTGGGGGGAGGGGCAGAGCCCAGCTGTCAGCCCAGAGCCCAACGTAGGGCTTCATCCCACAAACCATGAGGTCATGACCTGAGCTGAAATCAACCAACAGAGCCACCCAAGTGTCCCCTAGACTTGTAATTTTAAATGAAGGCATTATTCTAGAATGAAAAAATATTCCAGACTGAAAAGTTTTAATGTGTAAGAAAATGTTCCTTTTATGTTTGTGTTTTCATTTTCATAATTTTATGGTGATTTGGGTATTCGTGTTGTTATGTAAGTACATTTTATATGATGTCTTTTTTGCCACATAGTTATAATCATTTAAATCTTAATTTCAGCTGATGAGTAAGGAATCTCCTGTCTCTGCTGGAAATGATGCCTATGTTGACCTTGATCGCCAGGTATCTCATTTTGCATTGTTTTTATCCATGCAGAGATTGAAAAGAATAAACCTTATATATTCACAAAAAGAATGTTTCATTTGAAATTGCTTATAGAATATATTGGTTTAATTCGTTGTTTTTTACTAAAATTCAAGAGCTTAAGCTACTTTACTAGTGGATATTACACATTAGTAATTACATTTGTAATTTGTAATTAAAATATTGCATAACCCACTTTAACTTAAAGTCATTGTAATTCGTATTTCCTAGTCATGATTTTTCTTTTTCCATTAGTGGTATCTTTCTTCGTGCTACATTTAACACACAGCATTTTCTGGAAAATGGCATGCATTTAATCTTATGATTTATTTATAATACAAAATACCTTTTATTTCACATTATTCTTCCTTTATCTTTGTGAGAAAGACCATTTATCTTTGTGACGAACAGTCAACAGATACTTAAATACATTAAGGAATGTACTATATTTTTAAAGGAACTCTGTGGTGTATTCTTGTGGTTTTAACCAAAAGTTATTTTGTAATTTTAATTACTACTTTTCAATAGAATACTCTTAGTTACATTGTCAGTTTCTATGTTCCAACTATCCTGGGACATCTGTCCCAAAGGGTGAACAGATATCTTCACATTACCCTCTCTCATTTCTTCCCCATGGTTTCTAAATGTTTTGTAGGAAAATCTTTGGACATATGATTTTAACCCAAGTTGTAATTTGCTTCCCTTACTTTGTGATGTTAGGTTTTAAAGGTGTTACTTTTTTTTAAGTTTATTTATTTTGAGAGAGAGAGAAAGAACGCATGTGTGAGCATGTGAGCAGGGGAGGGGCAGAGTGAGAAGGAAAAAGAGAAAATCCCTTAAGGGGGGGGTCCGGGGTGGGGGGGGGAGGCTGGAACCAGAGATCATGGCCTGAGCCTAAATCAAGAGTCTGACTTTAATAGACTGAGCCACCCAGGCACCCCTAAAGTTTGTTACCTTTATGAATTTTTTTGTATCTATAGTACACAGAAGTTTGGTCATGTGAAAGGAAAAGCCACTACAATTTTTTAGCCAATTTTTCTTTTTTTAAATTAAGTAATTAATTTTAATTAATTAATTTTTTCATTCTTTGCTAACTTAGAGTTTATATAATAATGGGACACAACTTAGAAGTGTTTGGTTTGGGGCGCCTGGGTGGCGCAGTCGGTTAAGCGTCCGACTTCAGCCAGGTCACGATCTCGCGGTCCGGGAGTTCGAGCCCCGCGTCAGGCTCTGGGCTGATGGCTCAGAGCCTGGAGCCTGTTTCCGATTCTGTGTCTCCCTCTCTCTCTGCCCCTCCCCCGTTCATGCTCTGTCTCTCTCTGTCCCAAAAATAAATAAACATTGAAAAAAAAAAAAAAAAAAAAAAAAAAAAAAAAAAAAAAAAAAAAAAAAAAAAAAGAAGTGTTTGGTTTGTGTTGAGAATCAGAATAATAATAATTTAAAAACTGTTATGCAAACTAAAGGTTTAATATGACTGAAGAACTTGGGTTGAAATACATCGGCTATATATTTCAACTATTGAAACCCCTATCCTCTAGCACATGCATATTTTATCAAGGTAAAATTTCTCACTTATTACAGAATCAACATTACCAAGAATCATGTAGCCCAGATAGGCAAATGTAAGAAAACTTGATAAGAGCAAAGTACCAGATTCAGAGTACAGAAAAAACAAGACTTAGGACTAGAAGATACTCAGTTAGAAATGCCTTCTTTTGACTCTCCAGAAGGATTCTCCATTTCTCCCTGACCCTCAGAAAGAAATGGGATGGAAATGTTTTAATTCTTTATTGTACCTATGTAATTATTAACTGTTGCTACTTCATATTGAAATGTTTATTGTATCTCTTTGTTTGTAACTAGTTGAAGAAAACTACGGAGGAACTAAATGAAGCTCTGTCAGCAAAGGAAGAAATCGCTCAAAGGTGCCATGAACTGGATATGCAGGTAAGAGATCCGTTCTGTGTACTATCTATTTGAAATGCACCATTATAAGTAACACCAGATATACTGTGTACTACCATGTAGTATAGTTTGGCTGTAACACAACCCTAATTAAAGAGAAGAAAAGGGAAAGCAGGTTTTTGATTAAAAAGACTAATCAAATAATGTTAGTTTTCTTTCCTTCTTGCAACCCTATTAGATTGATAATAACTGAATGAAAATGGCATAAGGACCCAAGAAAAGAAAGGAAGGATATCAGTGCTAGCTTTAGGGAGGAGTGGAGATTTTTAAAAGCCCTGATTGTAGTGTTTTCCAGTATCCATAGTATAAATACTCTAATTTACATGCAGGCCAGCTTCTTGTAGAGCATGTGACTCTTGATTTCAGGGTTGTGAGTTTGAGTCCCATGTTGGGTACAAAGATTACTTAAAAATCTTAAAAAAAAAAAAAAATTTAATAGGGTAGGTAAATTTCAAGAAGTCACCAATAAAAAGAAAGTAAAGTGAAATTAGTCAGAGAAAGACAAAAATCATATGACTTCACTCATATGAGGACTTTAAGAGACAAAACAGATGAACATAAGGGAAGGGAAACAAAAATAATATAAAAACAGGGAGGGGGACAAAACAAAAGAGACTCATAAATATGGAGAACAAACTGAGGGGTTGTGGGAGGGGGGATGGGCTAAATGGGTAAGGGGCATTAAGGAATCTACTCCTGAAATCATTGTTGCACTATATGCTAACTAATTTGGATGTAAATTTTAAAAAATAAAAAAATAAAATTAAAGAAAAAACAAAAAAGAAAATAAGAAAAAAAATATTTGGGATTTACCTCAAAATTAAGGAGGTTGGGGGCTTGGAGAGAGGTACAAATAAGACATAACTGACCATGTTTTGATGCTTGTTAAAGCTGGGTTATGAATATACTTAGTTCATAATATTTTATAATAGAAGCACTTTACTTTGAAAGGCATAGGTGTTGGTCATTGCTTTGGATGCACATAGGAGGAAGTATAATCATAGCACACTTCTTGGGTTAGAAGGTAAATAATATTATCTGGTCACAATAACATTAAAGTTATACACTGGGATTGGTAAACTACACCTTGTCATCTGTTTTTGTAAGTAAAGTTTTATTGTAGCACAGCCTTGCTTTTTCACATCTTGTCTATGACTGCTTTCATGCTGTAAGGACAGAGTTCATGCCACAGAGACCTATGGCTCTCAAAGCCTAAAATATTCACTGCTTGATTCTTTACAGAAGAGTTTACCAAACTTGGTATAGACATACTGCAAAGTGAATGGCAGGGTTGCAGACAGGTTATGAGAATAGAAGGGTTGCCCTATGACACACTTAGTCCTGCAGAAAATAGTAGTAATACACTTGATACTCGGATTTCTAATGTAATAATATAAACCAATTTCAACATTTAGAATTGTCCTAGAGAGAAATGTTATTGTGAAAGTAGAGGTGCAGGTGATAGTAGTTGAGAAGTAAACTAGGATAGGAGCCATGAGGAACACTAATGTTCTTGTCTTACCAAGAAGTCAAGAACCACTTCTGTGGCACAGCAGCTATTACATGGCTGGCTCCTTCTAGTCATCCAGTCTCAGCTCAAAATCACATGATTAATTTGGCATAAAATACGTATTGGGCACTTAAATGTGTGAAGTACTAAATTAGGCCTCCCAGAAAGGCTTTCCATGGTCCTGTGGTCCGTGGTCCATATAGTAGGCAGATGAGTGAGTGCATAAATGGGTGGGGGATTGAGTGGAAGGAGTTAATAAGTAGTTAAGATTGCAGAGGTGACCAATGAAGGAAACAAGAATAGCTGTTTGTGGAAAGGAAGGATGGCACAAGTTGCTATAATTTAACCTGTCAGAGGAGAAAGTCACTAGATAATGTCTGATGTTGATAAATCAAGAAATAGAAGTGTAAAACATTTAGAGATGTAAAATAACAACCCAAGACAGTAAAATTAGGAATAGTTAAAATTAGTTGTCTGTTAGAAGCAGAAGCACTCTGCGGGAAACTATAGCTTTTTTATGATAAACCCTTTTTTGTCTGATTTTTTTCTTAAATCATGTTTAAGTATCATTTTTTATTACAAGCATACTTAGGAGTTATTGTTCCATACTGCTGCAATAATGCTGGTATCCCAGTAAAGGAGGTCAAATGAATTATCTGGCTTCCTAGTGCGTATAAAAGTTATGTTTATCCTTTATCGTAGTCTGTTAAGTATGCAATAGCATTATGTCTAAAAATGTAGGGGCACCTGGGTGGCTTAGTCGGTTAAGCGTCCGACTTCGGCTGAGGTCATGATCTTGTGGTCTGTAAATTCGAGCCCCACATCGGGCTCTGTGCTGACAGCTCAGAGCCTGGAGCCCACTTTAGATTCTGTGTCTCCTTCTCTCTCTGTCTCTCTCTCTAAAAAAATAAACATTAAAAAAATTTTTTTAAATAAAAACAAATGTATATTTTCTTTCTTTCTTTTCTTTCTTTTTTTTTTTTTTTTTTTTTTTTTTTTTTTTTTTTTTTTTTTTTTTTTTACAAATGTATACACTTTAGGAAGACTTTATCGCTAAAAATTTCTAACCATCATCTTAGCTTTTAGTGTATCATAATTTCTTTTGCTGGTGGAGTGTTTTGCTTCAGCATTTATGGCTGCTGATAGACTGATCAGGATGGTGGTTGCTGAAGGCTGGTGTGGCTGTGGCAGTTTGTTAAAATGAAATTTGCTCCATCAATTGACTCTTCCTTTCACAGATGATCTGTCTGTAGCATGTTATGCTGTTTGATAACTTTAGCCACAGTATAACTTCTTTCAAAATTGGAGTCAGTCTTTTCAAACACTACTGCTGCTTTCTCAACTGTTTATGTGATACTTTAAATCCTTTGTTGCCATTTCAACAACCTTCACAGCATCTTCACCCCAAGTCACTTTTCCACCCCAAGTCACTTTCTTTGCTTGTCCCTATGGAGCAGCTACTCATTTATTAAAGTTTTATCTGAGATTGCAGCAGTTCAGTCCCATTTTCAGGCTCAATTTCTTTTTTGGTTGGTTTGTTTGGTTGGTTGGTTTTTTGTTTTTTGTTTTTTTTGTTTTTTTAGAGAGAGCGCACGTGCCAGGGAGAGGGGCACAGGGAAAGAGAAAGAGAATTTTTTTTTTTTTTAATTTTAGGGAAACAGCATGCAAGTGGGGGAGAGGGGCAGAGAGAGAGAGAGAGAGAGAATCTTAAAGTCTAAGCAGGCTGCATGCTCAGTGAGGAGCTGGACGCAGGCTCCATCCCGTGACCTGGATCATGCCCGGAGCCAAAATCAAGAGCCAGATGCTCAACCCACTGAGCCACCCATGTGCCCCCAAGCTCCATTTCTAATTCTAGTTCTCTTGCTATTTCCACCACATCTGCAGTTACTTTCTCCACTGAAGTCTTGAACTCCAAAATCATCCATGAGGCTTGGGATCAGCTTCCTCCAAACTTCTGTTAATGTTGATTTTTTTTTTTTTTTAACCTCTTCCCATGAATCATGAATGTTCCTATTGCCGTCTGGAATGGTGAATCCTTTCCAAAGGTTTTCAATTCATTTTACCCGGGTCCATTAGAAAAAGTATTATAATCTGTGGCAGCTACAGTTTTACCAAATGTGCTTCTTTTTTTTTTTTTTAATGTTTATTTATTTATTTTGAGAGAGCCACAAGCACAAGTGGGAGAGGGGCAGAAAGAGGAGGGAGAGAGAGAAAATCCCAGGCAGGCTCCATGCTGTCAGTGCAGAGCCCAACTCAGAGCTCGAATTCACGAACCGCAAGATCATTACCTGAGCTCAAATCACAAGTTGGATGCATAACCAACTGAGCCACCCAGGTGCCCCCCAAATGTGTTGGTTAAATAATAAGACTTGAGAGTCTAAATTATTCCTTGATCCATAGTCTACAGAGTGGATATCGTGTTAGCAGGCTTGAACATTAATCTCATTGTACTTCTCCATCAGAGCTCTTGGGTCACCAGGGGCATTGTCAGTGAGCAGTAATATTTTTGAAGTCATCTTTTTTTCTGAGCAGTAGGTCTCAACAGTAGACTTAAAATATTTAGTAAACCATGTTGTAAGCGGATGTGCTGTCATCGGGACTCTGGTTCCATGGGTAGAGGACAGGCAGGGCAGATTAAGCATTAATTCTTAAGGGCCTTAGGATTTTCAGAATGGTAAATGAACATTGGCTTTAACTTAAACTCACCAGGTGCATCAATGTTTAATAAGAGAGTCGATCTGTCTGTTGAAGCTTTGAAGTCAGGCATTGACTTCTCCTGTCTAGCTGTGAAAGTCCTAGATAGCCTCTTCTTCCAATAGAAGAGAATTTCTCATCTACATTGAAAATCTGTTTAGTGTAGCCACCTTCATGAATTATCTCAACTCCTTAATTTCCTGGATAATTTGGTGTCTGTCGCTTCTATATCAGCTCTTGCTACTTCATCTTGCACTTTTTGTTATGGAGGTAGTTTTTCCCTTTTACTTCATGTACCAACCTCTGTTGGCTTCAGACTTTTCTTCTGCAGTTTCCTCACCTCTCTCAGCCCTCATAGAGTTGAAGAGAGTTAGGGCCTTGCTCTGGATTAGGCTTTGCCCTAAGGGAACATTGTGGCTGATCTCTCCAGACCACTAAAACTTTCTCCATATCAACAATAAGGCTGTTGTTTCACTTTCTTATCATTTGCGTGTTCACTGGAGTAGCTTTAAACCTTTAATTTGTTTTAAGAATTTTTCCTTTGCATTCACAATTTGGCTACACTGTTTAATACAAGAAGCCTGGCTTTCAGCCTATCTCGGTTTTCAACGTGCCTTTCTCACTAAGCTTAATCATTTCTGCCTTTTGATTTAAAATGAGAGATGCGCAGCCTTTCACTTGAACACTTACAGGGTATAGTAGGCCTAATAATTTCAGTATTTTTGTATCTCTGAGTATAGGGAGGCCTGAGGAGAGAGAGAGACTAGTGGGGGAGGAACAGCTGGTCAGTGGAGCAGTCAGACCACACTCAACAGTTACCAACTAAATTAACCATTTTATATGGGTGTGTTTGGTGGCACCCCAAAGCAATTACAATAGCAACATCGAAGATCACTGTAACAAATACAATAATAATGAAGAAGTTTGAAATATTATAAGAATTATCAAAATGTGACAGAGACATGAAGTAAGCAGTGCTGTTGGAAAAATGGTGCCTATAGACTTGAGACTGGATTGCCACAAACCTTCAATGTGTAAAAATGGCAGTACTGAGGAGTACAGCAAAACAAGGTATGCCTGTAGTCTCCGTTTTCCGTGTGTGTGAAAAGGACTTTTGCCAAATACACAGGCATACATCATTTAAAAAAAAAAAAAAAGGAGGAAGGTGCAGAAATGGATGAAATAGTCCAGTGACATGGAATAGAGCCACTGCTCTCTTCTGAGGCAAGACTCACGCATTTATAGAAACCTGACAAATTATAGAGCTGGCATTTTAGCTTCATTCATTTATTCAACAAATGTTACTGAGTGCCTTCTGAAGAGAGTGTGTGAAGTGGATATCAGTCTGAAGAGGCCTTAGAAGCCTTTGTAAAGATTTTGACTTTGAATAAGTGGGAAGTCGTTGGAGGATTTTGAGCAAAGTAGTCATGTGAGCTGATTTTGTTTAAATGGATTATTGTGACCGGTGTATGGAGAATAGACTAAAGGGAGGCAAGGGCCAAATTTAGAAGACTAATTAAGAAACCACTGCACAAATCCAGGCAAAAAAAAATTATGTTAGCTTAGATTGGAATTTAGGGCTTGTTAAGAAGTGGTCAAAATATGTTTGAAGGTATAGCCAATGATATTTTCTTACAAATTGGATGTGACTATGAAGGAAAGATGTTAAGGATTATGACTGAGCAACTGGAAGGACAGAGTTCCTTTTCACTGAAATAGGAAAGACTGGAGGGAATGAGAGTGAGAAGTGATTAAGAGCTCCACTTGGACAATTTAAATTTGAGATGCCTGTTAGACATCCAAGTGTAAATGATGTCCAGTTTAGGCATGCAGGCTAGAAATAGAAATGTGCAAGTTATCACTGAATCAAGGACGTTTATAGCCATGAAACTGGAAGCCATCACTGTATGTAAAGAAGAAAAGCTGTAGGGTAGTCTAATGGCAGGGAAATAAAGAGGAATTGACTAAGGAGACAGGGAAGCCTGGTAGGCTGGTATAGAAACCAGGAGAGTAAGGGGTCCTGGTAGCCAAGTGAAGGAAATGCTTCAAGGAGGAGTATGTGATCAGTTGCTTCAAACATTGATTGATCGCAGTGACATGGAGGTGTCAGTAGTGATCTGATGAGCAGTTTTGTAGAATGGTAGGGCCAATAGCCCAGCTAGAATGAGTTCAAGAGAAAGTGGAGGATGGGGAGCAAGAATTAGAAATGGCAGTTAACTTTTGTTATTACAGCTTTATTGAGATAAAATGAACGTATAATAAACTGCTCATATTTGAAGTGTACATTCAAAACTGTTGACATATGTATGAATATGTGAAAACATTACCACAATTGATATAATGAACCCATCACCCTCAAATGTTTTCTCATGACTCTGTATTCCCCCTCCAGTCCCCAGCTCTGCTTTGTCACTATAGATTTGTTTGTATCTTCTTGAATTGTATATAAAAGGAATCATACATTGTATACTTTTTTGTCTGATTTTTTTCATTATTTTGTGATTCGTTTATGTTGATGGTATCCATAGTTAATTCTTTTTTTTTTTTTTTTTTTTTTTCAACATTTATTTATTTTTGGGACAGAGAGAGACAGAGCATGAACGGGGGAGGGGCAGAGAGAGAGGGAGACACAGAATCGGAAACAGGCTCCAGGCTCCGAGCCATCAGCCCAGAGCCCGACGCGGGGCTCGAACTCCCGGACCGCGAGATCGTGACCTGGCTGAAGTCGGACGCTTAACCGACTGCGCCACCCAGGCGCCCCCATAGTTAATTCTTTTTCATTGCCAAATAGTATTCTCTTATATGCACATACTAGAATTTATCCATTAACCTGTTGATGAACATTTGTGTTGTTTCTAGTTTTTCTCTATTATAAATAAAACAGCTGTTAACATTCTTTATAAATCTGTGTGGCCATGTGCTTTAATTTCTCTTGAGTAAGTAAATACTGCCTAGGTCACGTAGTAGTTGCATGTTTTATTTTTTTTGAAAACGCAAAGCTGTTTTCCAAAGTGCTTGAAACATTTTACATTGTCACCAAAAGCGTATGAGACTTCCATTTATTCTACATCTCTGCCAACACTTGGTATAGCCAGTATTTTTTATTTTAGCCTTTCTAGGAGTGTATTGGTAGAACATTGTGGTTGTAATTTACATTTCCTTAATGATTAATCATGAGTATCTTTTTGTGTGCTTAGTTGCCATTTACATATCTTACTTGGTGGACTGTCTTTTCAGATGTAAAGAATGAATTCCTGCTTACTCTTATATATTGCTCTGCCTGTGCAGTATTCAAAGGTAGTGTAAATGTTTGCAGTGGAGGTTGATCAAAACAGGCTTTAATTCATAATGGTAATTCACAAGTGATTGTGCTGATGCCAGTGTAATTGGAAGAAATAATTGCCGTCTTCCTATATTCTAATAGGTTGCAGCATTGCAAGAGGAGAAAAGTAGTCTTTTGGCAGAGAATCAGGTATTAATGGAAAGACTTAATCAATCTGATTCTATAGAAGATCCGAACAGTCCTGCAGGAAGAAGGCATCTGCAGCTTCAAACTCAATTAGAACAACTCCAAGAAGAAACATTCAGGTAAAAGACCCCTCACTAAAGTCTATCCGTTAAAACATTTGGTAATTGTCTTTTAAAGTTAAGAATATAGTGTTAGGACTATAACACTAGGTGGCTGCAAACCACAGGAGGATGTAAAATAAACAACTTCCCCAAATCTTCCCATGTGACACGAAGGTAACTTCATACCTAGGAAAAATTCTATCAAAACCACACGCTCAGTATTACCTGAAAGACAGTATGCCTCAGCTGTTCTTGTGAGAAAAGCAAACAAGAACCACACATCCCATACACCTGTCCCACCCCATCCTGCTAGGTGCTTTGAGGCAAGTAAAAGGCAGATTAACAAAAAATTAGAGGAAGACAGAAAAATACAGGGCCTGAGGGTAAGGTAAGTTGGAGAGATCATCAGAAAGATTAAACTCACTCAAAATCTGAAATCAGTTTTAAGACAAAAAAGAGATTAAACCACAAACTGCAGGGAAAAGATTTCAAAGTCAAGTGAGTTGCCTTAAAGGACCAGATACCCTGAAAACATAGTGGCACTAACATAAAGAGATTGGTGCCCTTTGCAGGTACTTGGTTTAAAGGGACACAATAAAAAGGCCAGGTCCATGATTTATAGAGATAGGCTTATTTAAAGGGCAAGCTAATTTAAAGGGACTGTTTTCTTTTTTTTTTTTTTTTTTTTTTTTTTTTAATTTTTTTTTTTTCAACGTTTATTATTTATTTTTGGGACAGAGAGAGACAGAGCATGAACGGGGGAGGGGCAGAGAGAGAGGGAGACACAGAATCGGAAACAGGCTCCAGGCTCCGAGCCATCAGCTCAGAGCCTGACACGGGTCTCGAACTCCCGGACCGCGAGATCGTGACCTGGCTGAAGTCGGACGCTTAACCGACTGCGCCACCCAGGCACCCCATAGCCCATCCCTTTTCTACCTACATGTCTGTGCAAGGGTGGATTTCCTTCATACATTTCAGCCAAAAAGGTGTCACAACAGGTGAATATAGAAATAGCTATGACAGCCCAGCTGTTTCCTGTGAAACTGGATTATTTGAATCACAAAAATGTAAAACATCACCACTCTTCTCCCTATTTTTGTGTTTTAGGATATACAGTTATTTTTCATAAATGATGTGTTGTCTATATTGATATAATAGTTTTATTACTGTCCTTTTCAATATATTTAGGTGTTTCTGTATTAAGTTTTAAATATGATAAGTAAATATCCATAGATAAAACCTACGTAAACAAAAGTTCTTTCAAATGTCAGTAATTTTAAGAGTGTGAAGAGGTCCTGAGACCAAAAAGTTTGAGAACCCTTCATCTTAATCTTGACCTTCTAAGACAGAATTGGTAGATAGTAAAATCTAAGTATGACTGTACCCTTTTGTTTCTAAATTATGGCTAGTTTTTGTTCTGTTTTGTTTTGTTTTGAAGGGGGGGTTGAGGGGTGGACAGGGGGGAGAGAGAGAGAGAGAGAGAGAGAGAGAGAATATGAGAATGAGAATGAATTCCATGCAGGCTCCGCACTGTCAGTACATGGAGCCCAACGCAGGGCTCTAACTCCTGAACTGTGAGACCATGACCTGAGCTGAATGAAAGAGTTGGATGCCTAACCAACTGAGCCACCCAGGTGTCCCTAAATTGTGGCTAGTTTTTAAAGTATAGTTTGGGGAAGTGGTATTTAGAATTGTCCTGTGTATTCATTATGAAGGATATAGTGTCTAAGTCTTTTATTTGTTCCAGAATACATGTTGTAGTACATATTGCAATTATTATTTTGAAGCGCTTAAACAATTCAAGTACTTATCAGCACTACATATTTATACCTCTTAGTATTTATTATTCCTTATAGTCAAATATAATTCTTCTGGGTTATCTGTATTATAACCTTGTATCTTTCATATTTTTCTTTTTTGAGCATTGATACAAGCTTTAAAGTTTTAACTCTCATAGATTTTTTTTGAAGAAATTATTAATTTTAATATATGTGATAGTGGTATTGTGCTTTTAATTTTTTTAATGTTTTTATTTATTTTTGAGAGAGAGAGAGGGAGACAGAGCATGAGTAGGGGAGGGGAGAGAGTAAAGGAGACACAGAATCAAAAGCAGGCTCCAGGCGGTCAGCACAGAGCCTGATGGGAGGCTTGAACTCATGAGCCGTGAGATCATGACCTGAGCTGAAGTCAGATACTTAACTGACTGAGCCACCCAGGCACCCCTCATGGATTTTTTTTTTTTAATTTTTTTTTTTTAACGTTTATTTATTTTTGAGACAGAGAGACAGAGCATGAACGGGGGAGGGTCAGAGAGAGGGAGACACAGAATCTGAAACAGGCTCCAGGCTCTGAGCTGTCAGCACAGAGCCCGACGCGGGGCTTGAACTCATGGACCGCGAGATCATGACCTGAGCCGAAGTCAGCCGCTTAACCGACTGAGCCACCCAGGCGCCCCTCATGGATTATTTTTAATTACAAAATGGACAATATATTTTTCTAATGGAGGGATCTGGCAGTTACCATTTAATTAAATCATCAAACTAAGTAGCACCACCCACAGGGTACACAGTGTCACTTGTATAGTATTTTTGCCAGATATTTAACCTGAATGTAATCATGAAGAAATAATCAGAATAAGGAATATCCTTAAAGATGGGTAAGACTACTCAAAAAGTCAATAAAATAGGAGTTTATTTTTTCTCTTTATTTTTTTATATTTTTTAAATGTTTGTTTATTTTTAAGAGAGAGACAGATTGCAAGTGGGGGAGGGGCAGAGAGAGAGAGAGGGAGACACAGAATCTGAAACAGGTTCCAGGCTCTGAGCTGTCAGCACAGAGCCCGACCTGGGGCTCAAACCCACAAACTGCGAGATTATGATCTGAGCTGAAGTCCGACACTTTAACTGACTGAGCCACCCAGCAGCCCATCAAAAAAGTCAATATTATAAAAAACAAAAGGAAGGAAATACAAAAGGGATAATACAACTAAAGATAATGTGAAAATTTTTCTTTGGATCCTGGATCAAAGTGGAAAGAGGGAACATTTTTACTACAGTTGGATAAATATGGACTACATATTAGATAAATTAATATTAATTGTCTTAGATATAATGATGGTATTGCAATGATGATAAGACTATCCTTACTGCTGTAGTATTTAGGGGTGAAGGGTCATGACCTCTGCAGCTTCCTTTATGATAGTTCTCAAAAAAAAATGTACGTGTGTATTTTATGTGTTTACCCATAAAGTGAGAGAAAGCATATGAGGCAAAATGTTAACAACAAGTAGATGAATCTAGCAAAGGGTGTGCAGGTATTCATGAACTAGTCTTTCAAATTGTAGATTTCAAATATTTAAAAGTAAATAGTTGGTGGGGGGGGCGGTTAAATCCAATTTTCTAGACAATGATAACATCTGGAGCATAAGAATTTACTTCCACTTTTCCTTCCCTTACATCAAACCCAACAAAAATAATTTTAAAAAATACTAACATCTGATATATGAGTATTTTTTAAATAATGCTAAATAAAACAACAGCAACTTCAATTGGTACTTTATTACAATAAACTTTATCCCAGGATCGTTAACCTGTTATTAAGTCTATTACAATAACAATTTAACAATATTAAATTTCTTATTTTAGCTCTTTCAATCCATAAGTTAAAGGAGAAGGAATAGTACAAAATAAGTTTGGTGTGTGAAATTCTCAGTAAAGAACAAGATGATAATTTGTATTAATATAGTATTTGAGTTTTTTTCTAGACATTCCAAAAATCCTGGCTTTGCCACTTAGTAGCTGTGTAACTTTGGGCATGCCTCCATTTCATTCACTGTAAGATGGTCTAATAATTACTTACTTTCTAGAATTTTTGTATTAAATGAGTTAACGTGTGAAAAGTACTGAGAATATTGCCTGGCACACAGATACAATTTAGTTATTTCTAGAAAATGAAATAAAAATAAGATAAAATTTTGGAATGACAAAAAGTAAATGATCATTATTTATGGATAATAGGTTGGTCCACCTAGAGAATGTGAAGTGAATCAACCAAAAGTTCTCAGAACCGGTAAACACTTAATGGGAAGAGAGTAACTATAAGACATTTGTATAGGTCATAAGATGTTCTAGTAATAACTAGGTAGGATCATCAGGAAAAACTTGCTTTTGTAAGTTTATAAGTACCCAGGAATAATAAAATTTAAAAGGAATATGAGGGACTTGTACAACAAAAACTTCTTAGTCGTACATAAAAAGTATCTCAGTATATGGAGAACGATAACATCTGTTTGTTTACTTTGTTTTTTTTACACGTTTTTAACGGCGCATTGTAAGAATGCCATTTTCTCTTAAATTATTATATAATTTGAACTTGATTCCAATTCACATTTTGTGTTCAGCCAGAAGTATTGATGAGCAGGAGATTCCCAGAACGTTTACACTCAAAGTATAATGAGGGAGTGCTTGCCATGTCCTTTGTTGAAATGTTACACACCTGTACTAATTTTGGTATTGGTGCAGCAAAGTAGACAAACCAGTAACAAATGCAGATCCAGAAAACTGACCCAAGTGTATACATAAATTTCTAATAAGACAAAGGTGGCATTTTTTTAATCAATAGGTAAAGATTAAATTATTTGTTAAATGGTTTTGGGATAATAGGTAAATATTTTGGCAGGAAAAGTTTGATTCCTACATTACATCATACACTACAGTTAATTCCAGGGGGAATTGAGAATTTTAGTGTTAAAAATGAAACCCTGGGGGCGCCTGGGTGGCTCAGTCGGTTGAGCATCTGACTTCAGGTCAGGTCGTGATCTAGCGGTCTGTGAGTTCAAGCCCCGCTTTGGGCTTTGTGCTGACAGCTCAGAGCCTGGAGCCTGCTTCGGATTCTGTGTGTGTCTCTCTCTCTGCCCCTCCCCCGCTCATGCTCTGTCTCTCTCTGTCTCTCAAAAATGAATAAACATTAAAAAAAAAATTAAAAAAAAAAAAAGAAACCCTGTTAAGTACTAACAAGAAATATAAAATATTTTTATAATATTTTATTATATATGTGTATATTTAAATTTATTTAAATTTGTATTTATTTATAGTAAAATTTATTCATTAAATTATTAAAATTTATTTATTAAATTTATTTATATTTAAATATATTTTTAAATATTTGCAATATTTTTATGTTTTATATAAAAGAAAAAAGCTTTATAATCATACACCAAAAGTGAAAACTATAAGGTAGAAAATGCATCAATAGAATTACATAGAAATTAAGAATTTCTGTTAAATTGAAATACTTCTATAAATAAAATTGAAAGTAAATAAAGGAACACCTGAGGGGGCGCCTATGTGGCTCAGTTGGTTAAGCGTCCAACTCCTGATTTCTGTGCCGGTCATGATCTCGTGGTTGGTCAGGCTCCTCGCTGGGCATGGAGCCTGCTTAAGATTCTCTCTCTCTCCCTGTCTCCAATCCTTCCCCACTCAGGCTCCCTCTTTCTCTCAAAAAAAATTTTTAAGAGTTGGGGGCACCTGGTGGCTCAGTCAGTTGAGCATCCCACTCTTGGATTTCAGCTCAGGTCCTGATTCTCAGTGTTCAGGGGATCAAACCCCACGTCAGACTGCCCTCTTCTGCCCCTCTCTGCCACTCGTATGCTCACTCACTCTCATTCTCTCTCTCTCTCTCAAATAAAAAAAATAAATAATCAACAATAAATATTTGTGACATTAGAGACAATCCTGTAAATCAAAAGGAAAGATTTATGTTAAAGCAAAATAAAATAAGAGGTATGAACGGTATTATCCATATTTAGAGGGGAAAAGACCTATGAATAGCAACCAAACTAGAGGATATACTCAAAAATGTTAATTAACAGTTTTATCTACTTAGATTAATACATATTTTTTCTTGCTTTTCTGTATTATAAATTTTCAACAAGGAACATCTGTTAATTTCATGGTCACAAATAAAACTTTAAATAAATTTTATGTTCTGTATTTGGAAAAATATTACGTGATGTCTAGCTTTCTGAACAGAGGAGTGATAATCAGTTGTTATGTTTCCATAAGCCTTGGACCAGTGGAATCCATTTTCAGGATAGTTAAAACTTGAAGATAGAGCTTATGGTCACAGAAGTAGGAGACAGGTTCAAGAGTGTATTCTCATGTTTTTTATTTCCTTTTGCTGTTCTAAGGAGAATTATTAGACAATAAATAGTACTTTCTTGGTCTATTTTGTTTTGATTACAGACTAGAAGCAGCCAAAGATGATTATCGTATACGCTGTGAAGAGTTAGAAAAGGAAATCTCTGAACTCCGGCAACAGAATGATGAACTAACCACTTTGGCAGATGATGCTCAGTCTTTAAAAGATGAAATAGATGTTCTTAGGTAAACAGTTTTCCCATGTTTGTGACCTCTCAGGCCTGTCATCACCCAGAACAGCTCTGCCACTTATGTTATAAACTCTAGGATCTCTGAGCATAGCAGGGTATTTAACTGGGTTCAGATTCCAGTGCTATCATTTATTTAACCTCTCATGTAACCATTTTCTCATCTGTAAAATGGAGATAATACACCTCCCACCTCAGATTTAGATGCAGAACTAAGTAAGTTTTTATTTCTAAATCGTTGGAACAGCATATGTCAAGTAAGTGCTGTATAAATGTTTGTTAAATAGAAACTAGTCTCTGACCATCACTAAATACTTGTGTAGCTCTGGAGCTTTTCTTATTATGACTCCTTTTCTTTAATTTCAAGTCCTCTGCTCACTCAGTCTTCCTCTTTCTCGGATACTGTCACACCCCAGGAGGCATCATTTCCTTGCTGGACCAGTTTACCTGCACCTCGACTCACTTAGAGAACTAAGTGCCTTCACTCTCTGCCACCTCAATTTGCCACCATTCCACTTGTATAATCTATCTTCTGTCGGATCATTCCAGCCATTTACACTTTTGCTCTTTGAATACTGAGAATGAATAGAGAAAATCACATAGTGATACAGTTTTGTCCTACTACAAAGCCATGATCTTTACTCTTCCTTGGGCTCTTACCTGTGGTCCACCATTCTGCTGCTCATGATAGATAGCTCTGTCTCCCATTTCTCTCATAGCTAGCACCTATTTCCATAACTCTTTTCACCTGGACACCCATCCCCCACCCCACCCCCCCACCTCTCAATGCTTTAGTCTCAGTAGATGACATTGTCTCCTACTGCATCAAGGAAAAACCATGAGCTGTGGGGACTCTCCATGCCCTGTACTTCCTGCACCTCTAACTGCCCTGCATTCCCACCTATCTTTTCATTTTTGCTTTTAGAATGTAGACTTGTCGTTCTTTCTCATGTCCAGTGCTGATTCCTTCTTCAGTGCTCTGGGTCTCAATACTTCTTGCTTACACAAGGACTGTGTTCCATCTGTTATCATTTCTCTTTGCATTTGGATCTCCCACTTTAGCATATATTTATATGTTTAGGTCTCTCATCTTAGAAAAAAGACTTACTCCTCTCTCCTTCCCTCCAGAACAAATTTAGATTACACAAGGTAAAATTTACATTCTCTCCTTAACTCCTTAAAATGTGCCCTCTCCTACCCCCACTGCTGCACGGAAATGGCTGTTCCTTTGGTCACTAATGTCATTCTAATTGCCAAATCATTTGGACACTGCACAATTTATTTTGCTTCTTTGCTACATGTCACTGTGCTGGCTACCCCCCTACACACACCCCACCACCACCACTTGCTTTCCTGAAATTATATGACATTCTCCATTACAAGTTTTGCTGTAATTTTGGTCATATTTTTTAGCCTGAACAAAACATTAATCTAGAGTCACCTTTGGTCTTATAACTTCATTTGAATGTGTTCTTTTCTGGCAGTCCCTCTTGGTTTAGCACTATTAAAACAGCTTTACAACTCTGGATGTGTTTCTGATTTCTGATTTCCCATCTCATTCTAGACATTCTTCTGATAAAGTGTCTAAACTAGAAGGCCAAGTGGAATCATATAAAAAGAAGCTAGAAGATCTTGGTGATTTGAGGCGTCAGGTTAAACTCTTAGAAGAAAAGAATACTATGTATATGCAGAACACTGTCAGTCTAGAGGAAGAGTTAAGAAAAGCCAATGCAGCTCGAAGTCAACTTGAGACATATAAGAGACAGGTAAAAAGAATAGTAACAAAGTTTCTTAATGATGTTTTCAAGCAAGCTTTCCATTATAATACTGTGGCTTACCAAAAATCCACTGACTTTTGTTTTCACAGTATTCTGTTTTTTACCTATGGAAACTTCGTTCTTTTTTTCTTACTAAGTTCTTAATTTTAATTCCAGTGTAGCTAACATTAAAACTTAGTTCTTATCCAGAGGTTACCAACTAGTCTCTATAGCAAATCTTTTTATTGTTTTTTATTTTTAAGTTATTATGTAATACTTAAGAAATACACAAAAGTAAAAGAATAATATAAGTATCTATGCTTAAAAAAATAAAACATACTCTTCCCCTCTTCATTATAGTAACCACTATGCTGTTTTGTAGTTTTCTTTCCCGTGCATCTCTTTATTCTTTTGGTGCATATATATTTACTCACGTATGTGTATATGTATGTATGTATATATATATATATGTGTGTGTGTGTGTGTGTGTATATATATATATATATATAATGTGTAACATTTTTGACATGTTTCAGGACTATATAAATGATATAGTAAAAAGACTTCTGTGATTTACTTTGCTCAGTATATTTGTGAAATTTGTTTATGTTGATAGGTATAGCTTTATTCGTTTCATATGTACTGCTATACAGTATCCTGTTGAGTCACGAAACCACAGTTTATCCATTTTCCTATTGAAGGACAACATAGGATGTTTCAACATTTCTTTTAATTACAAGAAATATCACAATGAATAGTATTGAATATGTCCTCTTCTATACATGTGTGAAAGTTTTACAGCTATAAGGAATTTCTTCCTAGAGTATCTTCATTTAATGAGATACTGCTAAATTGCTCTTCAAAATGATTGTATTACTAACCAGAAGTTTGTATGAATCCCTGTTGTTCCACATCATCACCAACACATAGTATTGTCACACTTGAAATTTTGCCAGTTGGTTGAATATGAAATCGTGTCGCCTCATGATTATACTTTGCATTACCCTAATTACAAATATATTTACTGATTACATTTCTTTTGTGAATTGCCCATTTTTAATCTTCTATTCATTTTTAAAATTGTGTTATTTCTTGCTGATTTCTGAAAGTTCTTTATATGGTCTTGCTATTAATCTTTTGTCAATTACACTTGCTATTTTTATTTCCTACCATTCTGTGACCTTTCTCTTTACCTTTTTTGAGATTAACTTTAAATATCTTTTTATGATATTGTCTTAAATATTTTGTCTTTTGTCTTAAATAATTTCCTACATAAAGATGTAAGACTAACCTCTGTTTTCTTAACAAAGATTTAAAGTTAGTTTTGTGCACAATTAGTTCTTTAAATCACACATAATTAATTTTTGTGTAGGATGCTAGATTAAGGATCCATTTGAATACTTCATTGTCTGTGTAGGCAACCAGTCAACGTAGTGGCATTTATTTAGTAGTCCGTTTCTTCCACAATGACCTGCAAGTCCATCTTATCACATACCTAGTTTCCATCTTAAATGTGAGTTTGTTTCTGGGTACTCTCTTCTGTTTCATTGGTTTATATGTCTATTCTGACACAATACCCCACTGTCTTATTATTTATAAATTTTTAGTAATTTAATATTTGATAATACACCTTGTTCTTTTTCAAACTGTCTCTTAGAACTTTTCCTTACCTAAATACCCAAAACTTTTGGGAATTATAATTGCATTGACTCTTGTTGGTTAATTTGGGGAGAATTGACATCTTTATGACAATGAATGTTCCTATTTGATCAATATATCTTTCCATTTATTTAGATCTTCAGTGTCTTTCAGTTTTGTAATTTTCTTCTAAATGTCATGCACATATTACATTTACTCTTAGGTACCTTGTTCAGATTTTATAACTGCAATTAGCAAAAGAAAGGATACCATTTTCACTTTGTTGTTTATTTATGCAATTGAAATCGATGTTTATGTCATTTTACAACCATGCCAGATTCTCATATTACTTCTAGTAATGTCTGCAGTATCTCTTGTCAGAAGTCATATAAAATACAAATAAAATAGTTTTGTTTCTCTTTTTCTATTCCATACCATTTTTTTCCTTCTCAGTCAGCATGTTTGACCTGTAATACAACTCAGAATAGAAGTAATCATATTAGGCAACCATTTCTTGTTGATTTTATACAGAATGCTTTAAATGTTTTGCCAGTGTATTAGCATATATTGTTCAGGGTGTCTATTTTAAATGGATATTAAACTTAATCAGCTCCTTTTCCTGCACTATTGAGATACTCCTATTCTGCTGTTCCTTTCTATTAATGTTGATGAATTATATTAATGGATTGTCTCTGCTTAAGCTATCCTTGCATTCCTGAATCAAAACTCATTTAGTCACTGCAGATTTATTGGTTTCACATCATTAGATTTGCTTTGTTCATTTTATTTAGAATATTTTGCCTCTATGATTCACTTGAAGGTTTCTATCTCATACTTTCCTTATCTGATTTTGGCATCAAAACTATACTAGCTTAAAATGAGTTGGAGAAGATTTAGTAGAACAGCTCTGTGCACCATGAATACTGGCAAGTTTTTTGCTGGGTATATTTCTCTTTATTTTTTAAATTTATTTTTTAATGTTTATTTTTTTTTTTTTAATTTTTTTTTTCAACGTTTATTTATTTTTGGGACAGAGAGAGACAGAGCATGAACGGGGGAGGGGCAGAGAGAGAGGGAGACACAGAATCGGAAACAGGCTCCAGGCTCTGAGCCGTCAGCCCAGAGCCCGACGCGGGGCTCGAACTCAGGGACTGCGAGATCGTGACCTGGCTGAAGTCGGACGCTTAACCGACTGCGCCACCCAGGCGCCCCTAATGTTTATTTTTTGAAAGAGAGCGTGAGCAGGGGAGGGGCAGAGAGAGAGGGGGACACAGAATCTGAAGCATGCTCCGGGCTCTGAGCTGCCAGCACAGAGCCCAATGTGGGGCTTGAACTCAAACTGTGAGATCATGACCTGAACCGAAGTCAGACACTCAACCGTCTGAGCCACCCAGGCGCCCCCTGGGTATATTTCTTCCCAACATTTTATTACTCAATTTTCAACATACACTAAAGTTGAAAGAATTAGTTAACTTGAATGTGGACTGAGAAACTACCCAAAATAAATGTAGCCCAAAGAAACTATATGTGACATTAAAAGATGTTAAATTAAAATCAGATGATCCAATTAGAGTTCCAGAAAAGAGAACAGCAAGAAATATAAAAAGATGTTATTTGAGGAAAAGGATGCGTGAACATTGTTTTAGAACTAATGAAGGACATCAGAGGTAGTATTTACAGTGAATAACAAACTAAATAAGGAATCTACAACTAGAAATATTGCAGTGAAATTCTGTAATACACTAATTCTCTCCACCTATTTCTGATCTGGAGCTTAATACACTTTGTTTTTCAATGATAATATTTTTCTTTCCAAAAGTTCTCTTTGAGTGTTCTTTCAAACCTGCCTGATCATCTTCCTTTCTTAATTTAGATTTCCATCTTTATTTTCTTTAAGTATTAAACCTACTATTTTATAACTAATAGTTCCAATCTGAAATCCTTTCAGGTCTTATTCTACTAGTTTGTTGTTAGTGTTGTTAATGTTAATGGTGTTCATGGTGGCTTCTTTATGGCCTTTGCTCTTTAATTTGGCTCCTCTTTATCTTCAGGAATACTAGGAGGTTTTGGTTGATGTTGTATTCTTCCAAACAATGTTTTGTATATGCCAGATTTGTCACAGCACTACCAACCAGGACAACTTTAAATTAATTGCCTGGGTTAGGATTTGCTGGATAAAGCCTGTGGTAAAAATGGAAACACAAATCTACATGTTAGTAGGCCATAGTTACAAACTTTCAAGTTATACTTGTTTAAACCCAGAGCACTCACTTTATGACAGGCAAGCTTCCTTACTGATTTTTTCCAGCTAATGGATTTTTTCTTAACCTACCTGTTTACTGACTCAGTACCTTTAGAGCCCAAGATGGTTAAACAACTGGTCTTCCTTTACATTCAAAGCTCTAGTTTCCTGGTATTAGCAGTTGGTGCTTCGTGGAACCTGTAGCTTCCATACAGACTTCCTACTCATTTCAGGCCCTGAAGCTTTCTCTTACTTTCTTGTAAGCACAGCTGTGCAATCAGGTTTTTTGTTCCCTAGCATTTCTTTTGCTTTGTGCTGAGTTTCAGACCCCTCTGTTATGTGTAGTACAGGAAATGAAAGTCTATACTGTACATTCTTTGTAATTTTGTACATTGCTACTTTGGAGAATTAGATTTTAGAACCCATAATGTCTGAGCAGATTTTTGTTACTTGTTCTCTCTGTTGGGTTAGGCTGCTATATTGTACACTTTTTTTTTTCTTTTTGATATTTGTTGCTGGAGGGGGTAGTTTTCATAGCTCTGTGGAAGAAAATAGTGATAATTTCCGATGTTTCAAATTTTAAAAATTAATGGTACCTTTCTGTATCAGGTAGTAGAACTACAAAATAGATTATCTGAAGAATCGAAGAAAGCAGATAAATTAGATTTTGAATATAAGCGGCTAAAAGAAAAAGTTGACAGTCTTCAAAAAGAAAAAGATGTGAGTATATATGTATTAGGCACTTTGGTTTTGAACATTGCTAAAATTGAGACAATGACATTTAATTCATATTTGGACTATAATAATTCCTTCTATTTATAAATTTAAAAATTAGAGATCCTATTTGTTTTTAAATTATAGAAGATTTACATTTGTGTTTCAGAAATAAATGTAAAATAAAAGATTAAAAGAATGTTTTTACTTCCACTCTAATTTCTTTTGTATACTTTTATGTTTTCTACCACTTTTGTTTCTCATACATTGTTCTGCTCATGACTTTCTATAAATTTGAATAGCTTTTCTGTTTTCTGTATAATTGAGAGGATACAATTCTTTTTGTTGTTGTTCATCATATCTTGAATCTTTTAAAAATATTTTTACTTTGTCATGGTTGATGAATATTTAGTCTTAGCTCTTTGATCTTTTTATGTCTCATGAAAAGAATGTTATATAATGTACTTTATATAATGTACTGGAGTAAACAGTTTTGTTTCTTATGTTTAACTGTGTATAACATATTGCCTTGCAAATAGTAGATATTTAATATTGTTAAATATTAAAATTGTTGTAATTTTGTCCTTTTATGATCTTTCTATGGAAAATCAAAACATGAAACATGTCCACGTTCCCTACTGTTCATCACTCTCTTAGGTAAGGCAAAGACCACTGATGAATAAATTCATAAAACGTAAAGCTAACTTTCCTTATTTTTGATGTCCCTCCAGAGGTTAAGAACAGAAAGGGATTCTCTGAAGGAAACCATTGAAGAGCTTCGTTGTGTACAGGCACAAGAAGGACAGCTCACAACTCAAGGTAAAAACATTTCAGTAGCTCAAGCAAGATCATTTATTTTTTACAGTATGAGTTGAAATTTTTGATTCATTTTAAGATGCCTGCACCAGTGGATGAAAATGAAAAACTGGTGAAGAGGCATGAAGTTGATATAAACTGTTACCCAGATTTTGTGGCAAATAGGCTATAGTTAATAAGACCAGATTTACTTGGCTTATTTTGTATTTTAATTATATGTAAATATTTGAATTTTATTAGATCAAAAGCATAAACATTTGTTAAATCATCTGTGTTAATAAACCTGGAAAATTTTATTCTGGAAAGTTTCTTATGACCTCTTTTAAAAGTCAGTCAGTGGTTTTTTTTTTTCGCCTGAGATGTGAGGTGGATATCAATGCATTACAGGACTTCTGTACAAAGTAGAACTCTGCTCTTCTCACAGGGAAGGAGCAGCACTTAGCTCGAAGTTAGTCCCTTCCACTTTTGTCATCATGCTGGCAGATGTGGAGCCTGAACGGTGACTTGTACAGCTTCACAGTTTGTTCACCCCTGTTCCAGTAACCTGCCCTTGGCTTTTCAGTTACCCAAAACTGGAATTCTTCCTCTCCTCTGACTACAACCTCCTTTTTCTCCTCCTCATTCCTTCTGCCTACCGCATTTCACCTTTAACCCCCTCTCTGTTGTTCCTAAAAAAAATTTTTTTTTAATGTTTACTTATTTTTGAGACAATGCGAGAGACAGAGTGCAAGCAGACAGAGGGAGACACAGAATCTGAAGCGGGCTCCAGGCTCTGAGCTGTCAGCCCAGAACCCAATGCGGGGCTCGAACTCACGAACCGTGAGATCACGACCTGAGCCGAAGTCGGACACTTAACTGACTGAGCCACTCAGGCGCCCCCCCGTCTGTGGTTTCTATTTCTGTTGATCAGCTCTCTTCTGGCCTCATTTTCCAGCTTACACAGCCCACCTCACAGCCATTTAACTGTGTTCTGATCACCACCATCTTTTCTTAATGGTGAAAGCTTGTCAAACACCAGTTCAGATTGCCTCAAGTTTTTTTTCTCTGTTCCAAATTAACCAGGGCCAGCTAAAGACAGTTATATATCTTTATCTTTTTTTTTTCCTTTTTTAAATTAAGGTATAATTAACATAACATTGTATTAGTTTCAAGTGTACAACCTAATGATTCGATATTGGTATTTATTGTGAAATGATCACCACACGAAGACTAATTAACATTCGTCAACATACACAGTTACAAAATTTGTTTTCTTGTGATGAGAACTTTTAACTTATTCTCAACAACTTTCAGTATGCAATATAGTGTTATTAACTATAGTCACCACGCTATACATTATATCTGTGTGACTTATTTATTTTATATCTGGAAGTTTGTACCTTTTGACCCCTTCACCCATTTTGCCCACCCCCTCATATGTCACCTCTGGCGATCACCAATCTGTTCTCTGTATCTGTGGCTTGGTTTTTTTGTATTTTTTATTTTGTTTTGTTTTGTTTTTAGATTCCACATATAAATGAAATCACACAATATTGGTCTTTCTGTGTCTGAGTTATTCACTTAGCATATTGCTCTCAAGATGCATCATATCACAAATGGCAAGATTTCCTTCTTATGGAGTTCATATATACATATGTGTGTGTGTGTATGTATGTATATATATATATATGTATATATATATATATAATCTCACAATTTGTTTATATATCAATTGATGGAAACTTAAGCTGCTTCCATGTCTTAACTATTGTAAATAATGAGGGCACAGGTATCTTTTCAAGTTAGTATTTTCATTTTCTGTGATTAAATTCTCAGAAGAGGAATTGCTGGATCATATGGTAGTTTTATTTTTAATTTATGTTTTCCACAATGGCTGCACCAACTTACATTCCACCAACAGTGCACAAGGGTTCACTTTTCTCCACATTCTCATCAACGCTTGTTATCTCTTGTCCTTTTGACTGGTGTGAGGTGATAGCTCATGTGGTCTTGATTTGCATTTCCCTCCTGATGAGTGATGTTCAGCATCTTTTCATGTGCCTGTTGGCCATCTGGATGTCTTCCTCAGAGAAATGTCTATTCAGATCCTCTGCTCATTTCTTAATTGTTTTTGCAGTTGAGTTGTATGAGCTCTTTAAATGTTTTTATATTAACCCCTTATCAGATGTATTGTTTGCAAATATTTTCTTACATTTAGTGCATTCTCTTTTCATTTTGTTCAGTTTCCTTTGCTATGGAGAGGCTCTTTAGTTTGAAGTAGTCAGTAGTAGATTTTTGCTTTTGAGAAAATTCTATATCTTGCTTGTCTTCACAAAAATTATTTCTGAACATAATTGGATACTCATTGCTGCTTGGTAATCCTTTCATGTATCTCTAATCTACTGTATAAGTTTTTCCCAAATTTTAAGAATCAGCCTAAACCTTAATTCCTTAACTCTCAGCCCCCATATCAAGAGAGGCTATCTCATGTAAACTTACACTTTTGTTTCTTTGCTACCTATAAGCCTGTATGTTTTAACCTTATTTATGTATATGTCGTTGACCTAGCAAATTTGCTCAAAAAATTTACCCTAATGAATTAAATCGTCGTTTATAATAGTGAAATTTAGAAACAACCTAAAAGTCTCATTCAATTGTAAACTGTAGAGCCATTTAAAAAAAGAACTATATCTTATATGCCTGACCTGGAGAGAGATGTATGTTATGTCATTAAGTTAAAAAAAATGGTGACACCATTTGTGAGAAACACTCTCAGCAAGCTTCAATAGAAAGAAATTTCCTCAACCTAATAAGGGACATCTATGAAAAACCTACAGCTAACTTTATACTTAATGGTGAATACTAAATGTTTTCCTTAAGATCAGGAACAAGGCAAGGATGATCACTATTTTTTATGTGTTATTATTTATTAAACTCCAGCATAGTTAACATACAGTGTTAAACTAGTTTCAGGTGTACAATATAGTGATTCAACAATACTGTACATTACTCAGTGCTCATTCTAAGTGTACTCCTTAATCCTCTTCACCTATTTCACCCATCCCCCCACCCACCTCCCTTCTGGCAACCATCAGTTTGTTCTTCATAGTTAGCAGTTTGTTTTTTGTATTGTTTCTTCTTTTTTTTTCTTTTGTTCATTTGTTTCTTAAATTTCACATATGAGTGAAATCATATGATATTTGTCCTTCTCTGACTTATTTCACTTAGAATTATACTATCTCCCTCTATGTTGTTACAAATTGCTGGTTTCATTCTTTTTTATGGCTGCATTTTATATATATATATATATATATGTATATATATATATATATGTATATGTATGTATGTATATGTATATACATATATATATATATATAATGAATATCACATTTTCTTTATCCATTTATCTATCAATGGACACTTGGACTGCTTCCATAATTTGGCTGTTGTAAATAATGGTTCGGTAAACATGGGGGTGCATAAAGGATGTTCACTCTTGCTGCTTCTTTTCATTGTCGTATCAGAGGTTCTTGCAGTCAGGCAAGAAAAAGAAATAAAACACATTCAGATTAGAAAGGAGGACGTAAAAAAAAAAATCACAGAACTAGTAAATGAGTTCAGCAAGGCCTCAATATATAATAAGATCAGTATATAAATACCAATTATATTTTTGTGTACTATGAGTAAATTATCTGGAAATGAAATTACAATAGTAGCATAAAGAATAAAATGCTTAGGAGTAAGTTTAATAAAGAAGCATAACATTTGCAACAATGTGGATAGAACTAGAGTATATTATGCTAAGCAAAATAAGTCAATCAGAGAAACACAAATCTATGATTTCACTCGTGGCATTTAAGATACAAAACAGATGAACATAAGGGAAGGGAAGCAAAAATAATATAAAAACAGAGAGAGGCAAACCATAAGAAACTCTTAAATGCAAAGAGCAAACTCTGCATTTGCTCCAGGGTTTGAGTGGGGGGAAGGGCTAAAGGGGTGAAGGGCATTAAGGAGGACACTTGCTGAGATGAGCACTGGGTGTTACATGTAAGTGATGAATTGCTAAATTCTGTTTCTGAAATAATTATTACACTGTATGTTAACTAACTTGGATTTGAATTAAAAAAAAAAAAATACAAGCAGAAGACCTGTACACTGAAAACTATTAAGTCATTGCCAAGCTAAAGATCTAAATAAATGGAGAGACAATCCATGTTCAGGTATCAGAAAATTCACTCTAGTTAAGACTGCAGTCCTCTTAATATTGACTTTATTGAATAATAAAGATTCAGTGCAATCCCAATCAATTCTAAGCAGATTTCCTTTGTAGAAATTGACACACTTATTCAATTTATGTGAAAATACAAAGGAACCAGTATAACCAAGAAAAAAAAATCTTGGAAAGGAAAAGGTTGGAGAAATCACATTCTGATTTCAAACTTACTATAAAGCTACTGTAATTGAAAAACATGAAATTCACATAAGAGTAGACATACAAAGATCAATGTACTATATCACATTAAGAGAATGAAGGGAGAAAAATCACATAATCATTTCAATTGATGCAGAAAAGGCATTTGACAAAGTCTAACACCATCATTAAAGGAAAAAAAAAACATAAAAAACTTCAATAAATTAGGAAGAGTGCTAGAAAGGGAACTTCCACAACATGAAGTCCATATGTGAAAAATCCACAGCTCACATCAACTCAATGATGAAAGACTGAAAGCTTTTCCTCTAAGATCAGAAGCAAGACTACCAACTACCACCACTTCTGCACTTCTGTTGAACATAGCCCAGCAAGTTCTAACCAGACCAATTAGACAAAAGAAAAATTTTTTAATCTAAATTAGAAAGAACTAAAACTATCTTTCGAGTTGGCATGATTACAAAAAACAAAAAACACCCGTTAGAACTAGTAAAATGAATTCAACAAAGTTGTAGGATGCAGCTCAGTTACGTTAGCAGCAAAAATATATATGCAAACACTGATACTGAAAAATCTAAAAAGGAAATTAAGAAAATAATTTTATATATTACAGGATCAAAGAGAATAAAATACATGGGAATAAATTTAACCAAGGAAGCAAAGACTTGCACCCTGAAAACTACTGTTGCCACTTCTTACAAAAAAATGAAAAACCCATCCTAAAATTAATATAGAATCTCAAGGGATCCTGAATAGCCAAAATAGTCTTAAAAAGGAAAAAAGTTGGAGAACTCACCCTGATTATTTCAAAACTTAATATAATGGTAGCAATCGGAGTAGTGTGGTATAGGCATAAAGACAGTCATATAAGGCCAGCAGAATAGAACAGAAAGCCCAGAAATAAACCCTTCCTTATGTCATCAGTCGATTTTCAACAACAGTGTCAAAACCATTCAGTGAGGGAAAGGGAAGTCTTTTCAATATACTGTGCTGGAAAAACTGGATATCTACATCCAAACTCATGTTTTAAAAAATGGACTCAAAATGGGTAAAAGACCTAATGTAAGGGCTAAACCTATAAAACAGAGGAAAATTGTCATGACTTTGGATTTGGCAATGATTTCTTGGAATTGATACCAAAAGCTAAGTCAACAAATGAAACAATTTGGACTTCATCAAAATTAAAACTTCTGTGCATCGAAGAACACTTTTTTTTTTAAATTTTTTTTAACGTTTATTTATTTTTGAGACAGAGAGAGACAAAGCATGAACGGGGGAGGGTCAGAGAGAGGGAGACACAGAATCTGAAACAGGCTCCAGGCTCTGAGATGTCAGCACAGAGCCCGACACGGG